CAAAAAAAAGAACCTGAAAAAAAGAAACAAAAAAAAAGATACGAAAAAAAGTAAGTAAAGAGAAAGAAGCAAAAAGAAGCAAAAAAAAAGAGAAAAAAAGAAGAAAGTAAAAAGAATAATGTGCGAAAGCGGCAAGGTAAAAGCAGCAAAGCAAAAACAACAAAGCAAAAGCAGCAAAACAAAAGTAGCAAAGCAAAAGCAGCAAAGCAAAAGCAACAAAGCGAAAGCAGCAAAGCAAAAATGGCAAAGCAAAAGCAGCAAAAGCAAAAGCAGCAAAGCAAAAACAGCAAAAGCGCAAAACAAAAGCAAAGAATGATTTATCAAAATACATGATTAAATTTTATTGGCTAATTATATAAGGTGCACGATCATGCAGATGCACAAAAAACATATTTCCTTATTTAAATATATTAAAAATTAAAAAAAGTAGATCATAACCATATTTTTGATAATTTTCTAGACAAATTTGCTTAGAAAAGCTTACAGTTTAAGAGATAATATAATATAATATATTATTATATATATATATTAATTAACTAGAGAGAGTGCAGGTTACTAGATATTAATTGTTATATTATATTTTAATTGGCTAGAGAAAAGAAGAGAGATGTCAGGTTACTATATTTCATTTTAATTAGTTGAAAAAAGTATATTATACACCATTAGAAGATATAGTTTAAAAAAATATATATTATCTAAAAATAATATAATCTTTAAACATTAATAACTTTTGATTCACTAATTCAATTTAGATGATTTAACTATCAAAATAATCTTCTTAATGAGACAATTCTAAATCTAAAATTATTCAAATCTGATTATATGATCTTAAGATCATTAGAGGTTTGTGTTAAATTACTATAGTAAATATAATACAAAATTCTAATGATCTTGAGATTATATAATCAGATTTGAATAATTTTAGATTTATTAGAATTGTTTTATTAAGAAGATTATTTTAGTAGTTAAATCATCTAAATCAGATCAGTAAATCAAAAATTATTAATATTTAAAGATTATATTATATAAATTTATATATATAAGGGTGTGGCTATACATACTACTGAAATAGATTTTCAAAAAAACTCTATTTTGTTTCCATTAAAGCAATTTAAAATTTTTTATATGCAAGAGCAAATCTAATTTAGGTAGCTATATTCTTTATAATTTCGTTTCTTTAAAAAAAGTGTCAAAAATTTTCATTTTTTAAATAAAATAGATCAAAAACAATTTCATTTTCAAATTTTAATTTCGTATTCTGAAACCTAAAATAATTTCTTCAGTATGTATAGATATAGTGTGATTTAGTAAAGTTGATAAGTTGTCACACCCTCAAGCAGCAGAACAAGAGTTTGAATCCTACTGTCAATGAAATTTGAATTTACAGAATATATTTAGAAGACTGTATTCTATTAGGTTAGCACCTGTAATAGGGTCATACTAGTACTAGTTTGTATTGAAAAGTTGTAGAAATACTGTATAATATATAAGTTATATAACAGTAAAGCAATTAAGTAAAACTAGCAGAATAGAATATAGAAGCTTGCTTGGCAAGACTTGAGTAGAAAGATAGCACAAATCTTTAACAGTATATATAATAAATTATTATCTAGAAAAAAGAGAACTGAACAGAATTAAAGTATTTGACAAGATACTCTACTAACTAGCTACTAGAGAAGTAATTAGAGAAAAGAACCTAATTGTGAAGACCAGAAGCAGTATTACAGCTTTTTTGAACTATCTGAATTAGAAGTTTAAAGAACTAGAAGTAGAGTTGGTAGTTTGTTAAGTATGAACCAGGATTTAGGTGAACTTTACAAAGACAAAAATAGGTAATAGTAATAGCTTCGGCTTGCAAGTACTTGTTTTCAAACTTGGTATAAGTTATCAAAAAGTTTAGATTAGCCAAATTGTAGATATAGAAAGCTCTAACAAGTTTATCTTGAGAGTAAATTAGCTTTAAATTAGGATACTTCTTATAGCAGAATTGGTTTCTTATAAAGATATAGTAGCACAGAGAGTTTAAATAGATAATCCTCTAGTTGGATTATAGGTATAGCATTTAGTATAGAATCTTCAGACAACTACTTAAATAGACAATCAAAAATTATATATGTAGCTAGTTGTATTTTCCAAAATCATATATCAAATAAGTAGCAGCTAACTTTGATCAGCTTAGTATACAAACTAATAAAAGCAACTAACTATAAGATTACTTTGATATTAAAAAAAATAAATAAATTTATATATATATATTTTTATATATAAATTTTTATATAATTTGATTGGCTAATTTTTAGAGTCAGATAGAAAAAGAGAGATAGGCTACTAAATAAAAAAAGTTAGGTGATTAATAATACTTCTCTAAACTATTATACACTGGTCGAAATTTTTTAATATAAAAGGCCGATATTTGGAAGATAGCTAAGGTGAAACATCTAAAAACAAATATTCGAATATCGTATAGATGATATAAATATAAATAATATAATCAATAAAATATTAGCTTAAAATCATAGGAAGATATAAAGATGTTATA